TTTTATATGACATCATCACCAGCTTTGTTTATGAGAGATATATTTTTTTGTATTTGCATTTCATTGGGGGAAAAAAATCTGCCACATAAATTGTGGGGTTTTATTATAAGGTTGAAAGAAAAATGAAAGGAGGAGGCAGGAACAGCAAAACACTTCATCAATGTAACATAACAGTCTCTGGGGCAAAACTACAGTAAACGTATACATATAAAATGTTAAATAAGGCCAGATTTGGCTCGCAGGCCTTGAGTTTGACATATGTTCTATGGATCCAAACAAATACTTTCTCACTGCTCATTAAAACAACACTTGTCTAATGTATATCTTAGGATGTGATGGTGTGAACGTAAATTATTTCTTTAATTTACAAAGATTTACTATAAAAAAACATACGTAAACAGATTTGAAGGGACCTTTGAAAAGACTAATCTACATTAAAATATAAAGGCTTCAACATCAAGCTGTTCCTCTGACCACAGCTGCTATCATAATTAAAATATACTGTATATGGTTCATGAGATTTTAGTAAACCTCCCCGGATGTGGATGCAAGGGGAAATGCGGTCCCAGGTTGATCAGAAGACTACTGCAGATAGCAGAACAAGATCCAAGGAAACCATCCAAACTGAACTCCAAGGTTAAAGTCTGTTGCTCTCTCATTGCACCATTGGTCACATAACAAGTACATTATTATTCTGAATGTTTGGGCATTCCTTTGTGCACATTCTTGTTTTAGTGTAAAAAGATTGATGTTTTCTGGCAAATATTAGATATTGTTGCTACAATTTGAGTAAAAAATGTCACCTAAATAACCTGCATCAGTGGATTTTCTTCACCACTTGAGAGCAGCCGCATGAAGGTCAGAACAGGTTTTCACTGAATTTCACTTATGATGAAAAATATTACAATCCTTGGATGCAGAATAGAAAATGTAAGTAATGTAAGTAATATTTTGATTATGTTGCACATTTGTATGTGTTTATGTAAATGAAAGCAGGCCAGGGCTGATTGGTTTAATATAAAACCTACAGTAGCTCTATTTGTTGAAAAGGTCAATGATAATAACTTACCTTTTTGTGTGTGATTACAAAAGAAATTACACTGATTTACAAGGATGTGTAACTACACACAGACCAGTGTGCAGACCACAATTAAAGGAGCATGTATAAGGCACATCAAAAGCGCACCATAAAATGGAAGACCGTGACTTTGTCTCGTTCATGTGTTTTTAGAACTGAAGATCAGAGCAAGATGAAACCARCAGAACCRCATCATCTGCAAATAGCAAAATAATAGAAAATAGAATAAAATACAAAAATCACTCATGTAAAGTTTTGGTGAATTCAGCGTCTCTCTTCAGATTTGCTAAAGGGGTTACTGGSTTTATTAGTGATCTGACTGTTGTCATAGGAGGTTACCCATCAGGCTAAAAACTATGTGGGTTGTAGTGTGCTGGTTCCAGACTGCCCATGGTGTGGCAGACAACAGCTGGAGGAGTACTGGTTGTTGGAGGACAGCCCAATCATAACGGTGCTGTCTCAAGGACAGAAAATTCATTTTATCGTCACACAGCCTCTCGCTTTGACTTATTTCTACTTGTGTTCTTATAGGAATRYRATTACAGGAAATGCTGCCATTTTTTTCTTGCTCCATTTTGTCATGAAAACAAATATCATTATACTGTATTCTGCTTATACATTTATGTTTGCTATTGTAGCCCTTTCTTGCTCTAAAATGAATGCAACAAATTTTGAGCTTGGGTAATTGCTTTAACAAAAATCCATCCAWTTATTTTCTTTTACCCTCTTTTCATTTTCAGGTCACAAGGAGCTGGTGCCTTTCACCAGCAGTTACCGTGTGAGAGGCAGGGGACACCATGAACAGGTCAGTCCATCACAGAGACACATGGACAACCATTCACTCTCTCACCCACCAACAGAGTGGTGAGTTTGACGTAGGACCTCCTGACTAAACCCCACACACAGTTAGTATTTAGAAATTATCTACACAGAAATTATCAAATTCAATKTAATTCAGTTTAACAAACGTTGTCTCAGGGCACTATACAAAAAACCCCATAACAATCAAGCTAAGAACCAAAACCTTTGGTGTTCGTCACATAAATGTGCATCGCAGGCAATGTTCTCAGCTGTTGAAAATTTCTGTGTTGATAACTTTTGAACCACAAGAAATAGTCCTCATCTGATTGCAGCAATCCATTTCTGAGACAATTCTGGTCTTCTTTGATATGCTACATGACCCCCTTCCCATTGTAATAATTTGACTTTAATCCTATATGGCAGCTTTCAAGATGGTGGCTATGTACCAGACTTAGCCTAAAAGATAGACCCCCTCAGCCATTACTTGTTGGGGTATTCAGATTAGTTTCTGAAATAAAAGTGTGCCCTGAGACTTTTAACTCACACTGTACCACTTAGGAAACTGTSTTGAAAAACTGATTAGAACTCCTGTTTCACTTTCAAATGATTTACATTTCCCAGAAGCTTTTTTATTAAAACAGTTGCAGATTTTTCCAAAAAAAATCATATTATTTATGTTAACAATGTATGTAAAATATTTTGATAAAACACATTTCACTCAAAAATCAGACATCTTGTATTGATGCCATCGTTAGTAGATGCCCAGCTCATCCCAGAAGTCACATAAATCGTCCCTGGTTCCCACTTGTGCGTGTGACCGCACTGTTAGGTTCATAACACGCCAGTCATTGGTGTCAGAATAGCGTGGCCAAATGGGAAGACGCTGCTCCYGGCAGAAAGTGGTTTGTTGAGCCCTGGAAGAAGGGTCACCAGTGTGGGCGAAGGCCCCCCAGTAGCACAGCATYCGATTAGATAACAGCTTCTCTGACAAGGACAGGGTGTAGTTGGCAACCAGTGAGGAGCCGAAAAGAAAGGGCAGCTCAGCACCGTGGCAGACATGCTCGTAGCAGAACTTGAGACCTGACCAGACACGATGGTCTGAGGCCACATGGTCGAAAACGTACATCCAAGCATGACTTCCCAGTGCTGTGCTGGTACGTGCTGACATTCTGGAGGGACACAGGAAGATATAATCTGTAACAATCTGGAAAAAAAGAAAGCAAAACAGAATGGAGAATGCTGGTCAGACAACTTGATTCTGTTTTTTTGAGTATTACAACTCATATTCCGACAAAGATGGTATGTCRCATAAAATGTAAATAAAAATAGAATGCAAATCAAATCATGTTTTATCCACAATGGAACATAATAGGGTGGTGGCTTTGTCTCCTTACCCACCACAGGCTATAGAGACATGGAAAAYTAACTAACCCAGGTAACCTTCTACAACTGCAGCCCAGCACATACTGCAACAAACCWTAACAGTCTTTTTAGCAGGTGGTGGGCCCAGATGGASGTGTCCTCCTGTCTGTCTTTAGGCATTTTGCATAGTAAGGCCTGCTCCCGCTCCAGTCACCCTGGCCTTATTCTACCCCCAGTTCTCATTCCATCAGGTTGTCCCATTTTCCATCTTCTGAGCAAGGGTTCCTGATGATTCTGTTTGTCCATTCAGATCTTTGAATCAATCTTTSTCTGACCCCTCCCTTGTAGGGGCCTTGCCTTGGAAGACCTTACCAGGAGCTGATACCCCAGACAACAAAAGCCCTGTTATCATCAGGGTACTCAAAAACACTACCATGTTAAGATGGCATTTCTGTTGAGGAAGAAAATAAAATTAAAAATTTCTTAACATGACTTCATTAAACAACAAGAGAACWGCAAATTCCCCATCATCAGGAAAAAAGCAAAAAATGGTAGTTTGCTCTTTTCCAGCTTGTTACCTGGAAACAGCGTGTATTTTTGAGCATCACACAACTTGCGCCCACACAGCTGCAACACCTGACACCTGAACACAAACAGGCTGACTGGAGAAAGGTGAACAAACACTCACTCACACATGGTAGTCTTTTTCTCTCTCTTTAGGCTCATGTCTGTTTCCAACAAATGCAAGCACAACTGGATGAATCTATCATACGCTATCCATAACAAGTGGGTATGTGATGTTTTGTAATGTTTTATTTTCTCCWGAAGTGGAGGAGAAGTTCCTAAAATACTTTCASTCTTGTCCTCTGAACAAAGCTTTGATTAAGTGTTAATCAAACCTTTGGTGATGACAATAAATGCTGCTGTCAAAAAGGCGAACAGGCAATAAAACATATGGATGGTTATAAATAGGTTATTTTAACAAATACCCAGTTAAAATCTGATGTAACCRTAGCTGAGAGTATTTCACAAACATACTTTGAGCCTGAAATCCTGTGATGTCAYTAATTTACTTTATTGTAAATAAACGTGAGTTCTCAGTTGACTAACCYGGATAAATAAATGTTAAATAAATAAAAATGTTGCATGGAATTGTGCAAAATGTTGTTTACTRGGTATGACTAAAATGGCTACAACTCTTTAATTTTTAACCATAACATGCTTATTTTAAAGAGGGCTTCATGAGCATTATGGTGGCCCACAATGAACTAACTTCAAAGTTTTGTGTTTAATTTCGACTAAACACAAAATGTCACATTCCTTGTCTCGTTGTTATGGCACCGCTAACAAACAATACCTGAGCCCTACAAGGCATTTCCTGCATAGAAAGAGCATTTTAACACATCCTCTTATAAACACTGAAAACACATGTAAAACTGACTAAATGTGAAATAAATAACAGAAATACAATTAAAAGTAAAAATAAGACAGTTTTACTCCCTAATGAGTTGTGGTGAGTAGCCGCCATCCTGAATTCTGAACTCTCCCACTTTCCTACTGAGAATTTCTATGCATAACGACCTGCACTATGGGGCATGTAGTTTTTGGTCAATGCTGGTTTTAAAGCAGCTTATTTTGAGACATTAATACAGAGCTGTTCAACTAAAGTACTCAGGGGGGCAACAGCTCAGGGGCAGGACAAATGTCATCTTTTCACCTTTTAAATACCGTACTATTTCATATACAGTATATATG